ACTTCTACGCGTTCGTCAGAAGTATGAGTTCGATCATCACCAAAGGAGATCTCAAGAAAATTAGCGAAGAAGTTACAGAACTGTGACATACAGGAAAATGTCGATCCTACTAATGGATCTAACATGATGACTTGGATTTTAGGTTGTTTGACTAAGTTCATTGTCATCAAGACACAAAAGTTATCTTGTTTGGTTTAAGGAGATCAGAACTACCTTAACTACTTCTACCCGTTCGTCGGGAATATGAGTTTAATCTTTACCAAAGGAGATCCCAAGGAAGTTAGCGAAGAAGTCGTTAAATACAGGAAGCAAAATTGTGACATACAACAAATTTCCACAACCAAGTTCACGATGTCTTCAAAACAGATATAGTGAACTATCATTCAACAACAGATCTCAAACCAATTTGGGGATCCAAAGTATTTTGAAAATTCATTCCAGTTAACCGTGAACTTTCGAAAACTTTGGAGGGGTTTTTATAGGCTGTCTAAAAATTACTGCAGATAGTTGATCCCCATCAAACACCAATGATGAAAGTTATAATCTGATGACTTTCGCATCAACAACTCGACAATGAAGGTTACAGTCAAATGACTTTCATATCAATAAGTAAAGACTACAATTAGAAGATTTTCACGTAGATCGAGAAAGGTTATAATTCGACGACCTTCACGAAAACCGATGAAAGTTCTAATTCAGCAGTCTTCATAATTAACAGCGAGAGTTACAATCTGACGGCTCTCATATTTTAAGGAGCTAAAGCATAGATTAAAAAATGATAATCTTTATAACGCTCTATCAAAAGGGATTACAAGTCAACGATCTCTTTAGTCCAAGAGGCAGAGCTCATCTCTGTATCCCAAAAATGAAATGCAAGTGGCCTCGTTCCAGGGCCAAAGCAATGCAAACGCAGCTTCAATCTAGCTACAAACGCAGCTCCTAAATGCTGCCAACGCAGTTTCCATCCGCTGCCAAACGCAGCTCCTAAATGCTACAAACGCAACTTCCATCCACTGTCAAACGCAGCTCTTAAATGCTGTCAACGCAGCTTCTAACTGCTGCCAATGCAGTTTCCATCTACTGCCCAACACAGCTTCCAAAAGCCGCTAACGTAGCTTGCAAACACTGTGTTCAAACACAGATTTTATTCCAGAACGTAGTCTCGGTATTTGACTCATTCAAACGAGCTAAACGGTTTTAAAACCATTTTTTCCCCACGATTTGAGGGATTTCGCCCCCTTAGGAGCGGATTAAGGGGGCGATCCCTATAAATCTCAACAAACTCAACTGAGTTGGGGGCTAGATTTTTGGTCATTTGGAAAACCTTAGGAGATCGGCATTCTAGAGGAGAGAGATCTTAGATGATCCTTCAGCAACCGAAATTGTGAAACTTTAGTACTTGGCTTATTAACTGAATTTCAGTTTAAATTAACTCTTTTACAGAGTTTAAAACTCGCTCTAAGTTATTAAACTCGTTAAGAGTTCTGTTTAAACTTGCCACGCGAGTTCTCTACGACATCAAATCCAAAAGGATTCAACCGTGTTCCACGAGGTGAAACGTCAGATCGTCAACAAGAAGCAAACTCGACACGAGTTTCGAGGAAAGCATCTCATCGACATCAAGAAGAACCGAGATTAAACAAAGGGAATGGTCTTAATCGACCCTTCTCTCTTTTGTTAATCGGTATTAGAGAGAAATTTGTATCGATAGAATTGTAATTAATTCTTTTTCTGAGACTGTCAAAGAGAATAATACAAATTTAATTCTCAATTGTCTTCTTCGAATTTCCCAGCAAACAACCCAGAACTGAATATATTTGAAAAGAATTTTTTGACTTCTACCCTAATACCCTTATCGGTATTAGAAATCATGACCAGTTGATGTATGAGATTGTAAGGATTTTTGCTATCATATAGTATGGACCACACTCCTTATAAGAACCATTTTTAATTTTCCACATTCTCCTTCTGGCATACATAATAAGCAAAAGGAAATGTTTCTTAGTTGCTGTCACATCCCGTGGCACTAAGTAATATATATACCTCTATTGTGGTCTTTAAGAAATGTTCCATCTAAAAACAACATAGGCCTACATCTAGCAATGAACTCTTCAATACAAGCATTATAACTTATGAACAAATGCTTAAACCTGTCATCATAATCATCAATGGCAATATGACTTCCTAGATTAGTGGCTAGAACTATGACTTCATACATGCATAAATATAACAAGTAATCATTAATATTACCTTTTAAATTGTAACTTTGATAACTAAGCCGCAACCTTAACAAAAGATGTATATTTAACAACTAGGACGTATACTTAACAACTAAATTATAAAGTATATTGTATACTTAACAAGATAACAATTAATCTGTAACATAAACAACGAGCGTGTACACTTGATGACTAAGATGTAAACTTAACAATTGTGACGTAACATTAACAACAAATTTGAATACTTCATAAACTTAAGAACTAACTCATAAGTTTAACAATCAACTCATAACCTTAACAACCAACTCATAAGTAAACTCATAAGATTAATAACTAACTCATAACTTAACAATCAACTGATAACCTTAACAATTGATAGTTAATGTTAACACAGACATGACAGCTAAGATATAAGTACTTATTTAATTAGATAAATTTTACCATCTTAGTGAATCGTAGTCATCGAACAGGTCCTGTTGTGCTCTCTTAGCTTTATCACACTTTGTTGTAATTAATCTTAATGCCGAACTATGAGAATAAGTCATTCTTGATATCAATTGGCCAAAGATATGGCCTAATCTTAATAACAAATTGTATTTGACTTGTAATGAATTTGTGTGATGCTTTTGATTTACCAGCATTAGCCCTATATTGACCGTAAGTGTGAATAACGTGGAATTTCTTTATAAACATAATTGAGCAATTTCGAAGTGGGGAAGCAAACAACATCCAAGGATATTTTTTTGTGTCCTTATATCGACAATGCACTCTTAGATGTTTTTGTTCATTATGATAAAAATCATACTCGAGTCTTTTTGCAATTGAATAGTATTGAAGTACTAATCTAACTTCAGGAGCACTATCAAATTTCTATCCCTCTACACGTATAGTTGTGTGTGTGCCACTCAGCTGGGATGTTGATTTGGTTGTTAACCATATCTTCTATCATCATGATAGTGTCGACAGTATGATTATCTTTAGGAATAGGCTCATTATTACATGGTTGGCTGAGCGTAGCAACTGTGCATCGGGAATTTTCTGTTAGGATTGTCCTGTAAAAGTGAGAAAACACTTCAATACATAACAATTAACTATAAACACTAGCAACTAACTTGACCGTTACCATCAAATGTAAAGTCCACTGTGATAACCGCCAATCTCTTCAATCCCTACCGCAGAAGCCCCAGATCAGAAGAGCATGACCCAAGGAAAGTTTAAAAAATTGTCAAGTCCCCTCAAGAACCCAAACTTGACCTCAATCTGCGACATGGCCTCTCTCCTTCGACCACCCTTACCCAACCAAACACCTAATCCCCCTGCCTGCCGGTGGCTTTCCTCGCCTCTGGCAACTCAACGACTCTAAATCAACCTCGATTCCTCTTCACCAGCAGTAAGCGGCACTTCGATCTTCTTAGTATTTGTGATACAAGAAACTACCAAAATAAAATAATTACTTTAAACACAAGAAGCTACCAAAATATATCCTGAAAAACATAAAATTTTAGATAAATGGTTTTATAAATACTAGAAATTAAATGGTATACAAGTGAAATCCTCGTATAAATACCCAAACACCATTGTATAACATAGAAACGAATTCGAGTTCTTCATGTATAGATCCCATTTTAGCTTTGTCATCATTCCCAAATCCTTCTTGACTAACTGTTTCCACATTGATGAACAATTTCACCATTCCTGTAATGAGATCTTTGTTCGGAGTATCTCTATATTCTATCTTTAACTCAAACTAAAATCTAGATTTTGCAGTTTGCTTTCTACACAGGCGCACACGTTTCAAACTTCTTGAGGACTCTAATAGTGTTGTACTACATACTTTTTTTCCATATATGATATAACTATCATCCTTTGTATAGCCTCTTTGTCAAATACATATTTCTTCAATTTTATACAAAATTATATGGAGCGGGCACGTGCCCTGCATGTGCCCTCCTAACTAGTCTACAAAATGGAAAAAAAGTAAATATTACAAACTACAATAAATTTAGGACAGTATTTGCACAAACCTCGCTAATGTGTTTTTTTATCAAAGAAAAACTGTCCTGTACTTTCAACAACGCAAATCAATACCGTGAAGAAAAATGATACAGGCACACCCTCAGACACACCATCAACCACACATCCTCTCTATCTACAGTGCAGGGGGCCCCACATCAGATTTTTTTTAAAAATCTGATGTGAGACCCCCTGCACTGTAGATAGAGGGGGGGTGTGGTTGGTAGTGTGCCTGAGGGTGTGCCTGTAGCGCCTCCCTACCGTGAAATATAGGGCATTGGTGCTAACAACATTAACGAGTTTGGATAAAAGGCCTAAAATACCCTTGACAACAGAAGAACAGGAATAGATAATACAGTAGATAGATATACATAGCACAAAAATTGTCCAAATCACGTCACAAGCAAAACACATGATAAGTTGCCCTAAGAGCAGCTCCAACCGTGATGGATAACTGCAAAATGCAGCCGGAATTACCTCCAACCGAGCAGCAACTTTTACAGCTGAGCTGCAAAAATGGATTTGATGCTGTAAATTTGGAGATTTCTCTCCAAATTTGCAGCCAACTCTACATTACTATTCCCAAAAAAAAGACAATCTTACCCCTCAATCTCTTTAACAACATTGGATTATTCCAATTGTGTCCCATTATTATTTTTTTTTGAAATGATAATACATTGAAAATTAAACGGAAATAAAATACATTAACTTAGAATTTCGAGGAACTTTAATAAAAAAAAGTTACATCACTTCATTGTCGTGTCTCTCCTACAAATGTTCAATTAATGCATTTCGAAGTGCGAAGTGTGCTTCTTTGTCTTTGAATTCCTTATGACGGGCCAGGAATTGTCGGAACCGTTCGACATCGTTCATCCCTATGTCTTCAACATTTGAAATTGATGGTGGAGTAGAAACGACAATATCTTCTTGCTCATCACGTTCATCCTCAATAATCATGTTGTGCATTATTATGCAAGTGGTCATGATATCATGCAAAGTTCGTTTATCCCAAAACCGTGCAGGGCCCTTGATTATAACAAATCTTGACTGGAGAACACCAAACGCTCGCTCCACATCTTTTCGACAAGCTTCTTGCATCATTGCAAAATATTGTTTCTTTTTATCTTCGGATTTGGAAATGGTTTGAACAAGGGTTGGCCATTTCGGGTATATGTCATTTGCTAAATAATAACTGACATCATAATTCTTTCCTTGAATTGTATAATGAGCAGGATGAGTAATACCTTGTGTTAGGTTGTCAAACAAATTACATGCTTGTAATACATTAATATCGTTATTAGAACCTGGCAAGCCAAAGAATGCATGGCATATCCATAGGTCATACGATGCTACTGCCTCAATAATAATGGTTGGGCCTCCGTGACGTCCTGAGTATTGTCTCGCCCATGCTGTTGGACAATTTTTCCATTCCCAATGCATATAGTCTAGACTTCCCAACATTCCTGGGAAACCTCGCTCTTCGCCTTTTTGTAACAGTCTTGCAACATCGTCGGTATTAGGGAATCTAAGATATTCATCTCCATACACTTCTACAATTGCTTTGCAAAATCTCTTCAAACATTCAATTACAGTTGACTCACCAATCCTTACATATTCGTCAGTACTATCTGCTGGTGCACCATATGCCAACATGCGAAATGCTGTTGTTACTTTTTGTAAAGTAGATAGTCCAAGCCGACCGACACCATCCACCTTTTGTACGAAATAGTTATCGTGCTCTCGTACAGCGTCGACGATACGAAGGAAAAGACTCATTTGCATTCAGAATCTTCTACGGAATAAATTTGCACCGTATGTGGGATTATCAGAAAAATAGTCATTGTAGAGTCGAGAATTACCTTCTTCCCTCCCACGGTTGATTACCAAATGGCCAGGAACTGAGCCGATACGTTTTGGCCTCTCTTCCTCTTTAGAGAAATAAGACATTATTTCATTGTTAGAGGCATATAGACAAGCTAAGATTTCATCATCCTCCTCCCATTGTTCAACGTAATGAGAAAATGTTTCGTCATCAGAAGAAGAAGAAGAAGGTAGGTGTGATGGTCCAGCTCCATAGTTCATTGTTGAAGAGGGGATTTGGAGAAATGAATTATAGATTGGTGATGAGTTGTTAATAAATGTATGTTGTGTTATTATATAATGTTTCTACCCACATTGGATTCTCCCACCTGCATCGTTTTCTACCATTATTGGATTCTTTCCCGCATCGTTTTCTATCCACATTTGATTCTCCCACTAGCATTGGTTTTCTACCCACATTGGATTCTTTCCTGCATCGTTTTCTACCCACATTAGATTCTCCCACTAGCATTAGTTTTCTACCCACATTGGATTCTTTCCCGTATCGTTTTCTACCCGCATTGGATTCTCCCACTAGTATCGGTTTTCTACCCATATTGAATTCTTCCACCCGTATCGTTTTCTACCCACATTGGATCCTCCCACTAGCATTGGTTTTCTACCCACATTGGATTCTTCCACCCGCATCGTTTTCTATCCACATTGGATCCTCCCACTAGCATTGGTTTTCTACCCACATTGGATTCTCCCACCCGCATCGTTTTCTACCCACATTAGATTCTCTCACCCGCATCGTTTTCTACCCACATTGGATCCTCCCACTAGCATTGGTTTTCTACCCACATTGGATTCTCTCACCCGCATCGTTTTCTACCCACATTGGATTCTCCCACCAGTATTGGATTCTCCATAATTTTTTCATTATAAATACTAGCACAACCCTCATTCCTCCATCACAACTCTTCTCATTCCTCCTCCGTAGCTCTTCTCAACAACTCTTCGTCCTTCTCTTATGGCATCCAGTCACGGAAAATCATTCTTACAAAAAGAAGATCAAATTTTATGCGCTACATGGCTTGAAATATCTCAGGATCCAGTTTTAGGTTCCAATCAAAAGAAAGACAAACTATGGGAGCGAATTTCAGCTCTATTTCACGAAAGGATTTCCAACGTTTGCACCGGAGATAGGAGTCTGAAGTCTCTTTCATGCCGAACGCAATTAATTATGAAAGCCATCAGTAAATTTCGAGGATGCATTCGACAAGTCGAGCGCCTCAATCCAAGCGGTGCTTATGAACTTGATATTGTAAGTATATGAATTACATGTTTCTTGGTTATTAAATTATTTTCCACCTTTTCTAATAATTATTTCTTCTTTTGTGGTAGAATAAACGTGCTAGGATCATATTTGCAGATGATCCAGAAGAGAAAAGAGGATTTCTATTTGATCATGTTTGGCCGATTTTGAAGGATGCAGAGAAGTGGGCAAATATAAGCGTCATGCCTTCTGCATCTTCCAAAACTTCAAAGTCTCGCTTATCTCAAGGATCTGATTCAAGCTCTCCTATCATCGACTTAAATGAAGACAATCAGGTATATACCACTAATGACGACGACCATTCGCCAATCAACATTTCAACTAGTCGACCTATTGGAAGGAAGAAAGAGAAGTTGAGAAGACGGAAAGAAATTGAAAGGAACCTTGACTTTGAAGCTTTTGCTAAAGGAAACCAAGAAATCTTAGAAGTTTTAAAAAAAGGTAAAGAGCAACGAGAAAATGAAAGATTGACAATGAACCAGGCTATGATGTTAAAGGTTGAAAATGATAAGAAAAAGTTGGAACTTCAGCAAGAACGACAAGAGAAAGAAATTATGCTAGTTGATCTGGAAGCTATTACCGATCCAACAAAACGCGAATATTTTCGAATTAAACAACAGCAGATTTTAAATAGAAATATAACTAGGGGTTCCTCATCTGATATTCCTAATCCTGAATACAGCTACGCAGGAAGTCAATACGGAATACCTGACTACAGAGGAGGTGGATACGGAGGAGTTGACTTTTCAGACTTTTAGTATTTTTCATGCATTATGTTTTTCCTATTTGTCATGTAATTTTCAATTCATGTTTTTGCTTTCTATGTAATAGTCGTGGATTTGGTAATATGAATGTCTGTTTAATTTAATCCGAATGCCTATTTTATATTAATACATTTAATAATATTATTAATAATATTATTTATATTATATAAATTTTATTATTTTTATTATTTTTATATATTCAAAATGAGACTAATATTAAATAATATTAATTGAAATATAAAATTTCAAGAATTAAAGAAAATTAATTCTATTTCTTATTATCAATTCATTAAAGAAAATTAATTTTATTTAAATATATATGATTACATTATATATTTTTAAAATAAGTAAAAGAATTAAAAAAATTGAGAGAAATTAAAATGGAGTTGGAAATAGAGGAGTGTGATTGGAGTTACATAACTCTATTTTAACATATTCTAAGAAATATGCCAAAGTTTGGGATGCAAAATAGAACCCAGGTTAGAGAAGCTCTAAACCCCTATCACTGTCAGTCTGGACAGTTCAGTCAAAGAACAAGAAATAGACAAGACTTGTGACAGTCGAGAGGCATTCCAGAAGTATCCCTCCGCTATCTCATTGAGTAAAAGTAATCTACTTTGGAAAATAGAAAGAGCTCTTAGGAGAATAAACCCTGTTAATTAGAGGAAAGTAATACAATTAAATGATTGCACAGAGGTGAAGGTGAATATTAACAAGAAAAGGCAAAAATCTTGTTGTCATTTCAACTTGAGAATAACTTTTAACAAATTTAATGAGATTCTGAATAACATGCAGACATTGGCGGACCCATGCCTGTTCAAAGTGGTTCACTTGAACCACCTCAACTTTCGTAATGGACTATATATTATAGATATCTGTTAGTGAACATAACAAACTTATAGCCTAGTGGTACTAGTGGGTTGTTAGTTTCTAAGAGGTCATAGGTTCTAATCCTCCCAAAGCTTTCTAAGTTTGCTTTTTTACAAACCACTTTCTCTACATTATGTTTCTTTCTTTTTTTTAACCCAACATTCTATTTACTGTATTTAGATGAAGATAAGCCAAGTAATTATCTTTATATATATATATATATACTTTCTCCTATTTTTTTATTTTTTCTTCTCTAAAAATATTTTTTCGTTTTATATTTATTTATTGTTTTTTACGCCTCTAATAATAGATCTTGAAAAAAAAATATTAATGTATATTTTGAACCACCACGCGAGAGGGTGTGGATCCGCCACTGCATGCAGAAAGCCAAAATGTATGGAAATATAAAAATACAATAATTGTATTAAACTAGCTATCCAGTATATAACTGCTCCTGGTTGTCGAAATTATGTTTCAACAATATTAACACTTAGATTAGACTTCCTCATGGCATTAATCAAGGACAAATTTTCAAAACCAACCTATTTCATTATTTAATTGCAAAAAAAGACCCGTTTCAGTTTTATTTAGAGAAACCGACCTGGTTTCAGCACTGTCGCTGAAACCAGGTCAGTTTTTCTAAAAAACCTTACGAAACTTCACGGGAGTTCAACTCCCGTGAAGTTTAGTACGTTTTTAAACTTCACGGGAGTTGAACTCCCGTGAAGTTTATTACCCTCAATAAACTCCACGGGAGTTCAACTCCCGTGGGCTGCGGCCTATATAACCGAAGCGCCAGACCCCTCCCCACCTCAGTTCTCTCTCCCCGCAACCGCCCCCAAACCCTAACCTCTCTCCGCCGCCGTCCACGTCGTTTCCGACCCCAGCCCCCCAAATCCGACCGCCAGCCATTGATTCCGACCGCCAGCACTCCTTTCCGACTGTTTGCCCTTGATTCCGACTGCCGGAACAGTCAACTTCGCCGGATTTCGACAATTTGAGGGTAAATTCCTCCCAAAATTATATTTTCTCTTAATTTCTTGTAATTCCTCGCTATTTAATGGTGATTATATGTAAAAAATTATATTTTAGAATTTAATTGTGAAATTTTTATGATTTATGTGAAGAAAACTTAAATAATTTTGTCGATTTAGAGGGTAAATTATCAATAATGTAAAAAATAGTGTTACTACATATGTATGACATCTAATTTATTTTAAAAAAATTGTGTTATTAATAATTTTGTCGATTTTAGAATTTCATTATGAATAAGTTATGAAATTAGTGCTATATGACATCAATTAAAAAATCTAAAAATTAGTGCTATATGACAAAACTTAAATTATGGATTATGGGAATTTTAAGAATTTAATTGTGAATTTTATTAATTGTGAAAATTAGTGCTATATGACATCAATTAGATTTGAGAATTTAATTGTGAATTTTATGAATTAGTGCTATATGACATCAATAAAAATAAAATAAAATAAAAAGTAAAATTGGAAACTAAGTGACCCATCCAACAGAACGCTGCTTTCGTCCAAATTCATTATCATAAGTCGATTGTCCATGGCACTTGAAAATGTGATTCATAACAGGCACAGAGGACATTGTTGTTAGTTATAGATATGTATCCACAGCTCAAGTAAAATATTCTGTCAAAAAAAAAAAGTTGGGTTGGGTTGTCCACATGCAGTAGCCAATAAATATTTGATAATGCAAGTATACACAATGGGTTGTTCGTTCACCATCAATTGGACACATGCTCATGCTTATGATATACATTCTTGATGTCACAGAACTGAACATTACCTATGCAGAAGCATGACATTAACATGTATGAACAAGCTGAAAGAATCGATGGACCAATTTTTTTGCCTCATTTCATTAGTTGACAATCATGTGCATCTCAATTACATGAATCGTTCCCTAAAGAGTCCACAAAGCATGGGTATCCAAGAACCTGAGAGATGCATCAATTGTTGTACTCATACTAGGTATCA